AATTTTAAAGAGGTTTACTTACTGAGGCATGGGGCATCTGGTGACCATCCTTCTCTTGTGCATGTTATGTAACCCCCAGAATGTTGTGAAGGAGTCACAAAACCCGTATTACAGTAGTAGTAGAAATATTTTCCTATCTCTACTGGAAAGTATGGTTTATAATAATTTTCATGGTGTAGATATCCATTTTTTATTTCTGGAAAATCACAAGGCTTTACTTGGAATAGAAAAATACAAAACAGTATAAATAATATTTTATTTTAATAAACTATCAAATTAGAATTAAATTTTTCATTGATAAAGTATATTCTCTTATTACCATAATTACACCCATTCATTACATTAGAGATTCTAGAACAAGACAAGTTATAGAAGTCAGATCACTGAAGTACTCCTGGAGAAAGTCTTTGCTAATAAGAATGAAATTACATTTTCTATTATATGATGCATAAATTTATATGTAGACTCTCCAAGAAGAAACCCTCACAGACCCGTTTAATGTACTCTCTTTGAGTATACATCTCCGTAGCCTTGGTTAAGTAAATGAGCATCCTGGTTGAAGGACTCTTTTTTCTTGCTAATTATATCACTCACCTTAATTGTTTTCTCTTTTCTTTCTTTTTCATCCTCATCTGAAATCAGAGCCCTGCCTTCTCTTCCTAAATCTACTCAGAGGAAGTGGATATAGCTTTCCTCTATTTAATAAGGAAAATTAGACTAGGGATATTTCTTAATATCCAAATAGTTAAGATTACGGTAAAGTTTTGACTGTTTATTTCTAATTTTAATTCAAGAATGGGGTGCCTCTTTAATGTCTATAAAATACTTATTTTTAATTGAAGTACAATTCAATTTTATTTTATTGACTTATTCTTGATTTTGACTTATGATTAAGTGCTATTTTGTTTATTAAAAGTTTAAACCTCATATTTTTCAGAAATTTTGTCTTTTTTTAATTATTGTACTTTAGATGAAAGGTTTACAGAACAGACTAGCTTCTCACTAAAGAGTTAGTTCACATATTGTTTTGTGACATTGGTTATCAATCCCATGACATTTCAATACTCTCCGTTCTCGACACTGGGTTCCCTATTACCAGCTCTCCTGTCCCCTCCTGCCTTCTAGTCCTTGCCCTTGGGCTGGTGTGTCTCTGTAGTCTCATTTTGTTTTCTAGGCCTGTCTAACCTTTGGTTGAAGGGTTAACTTCAGGAGTGACTTCATTACTGGGCTAAAAGGGTGTCTGGGAGCCACATTCTCGGGGTTTCTCCAGTCTCTGCGAGGCCAGTAAATCTGGTCTTTTTTTGTGAGTTAGAATTTTGTTCTACATTCTTCTCCAGCTCTGTCCAGGACCCTCTATGTGATCCCTGTCAGAGCAGTCAGTGGTGGTAGCTGGCCACCATCTAGTTGTACTGGACTCAGTCTGGTGAAGGCTATGGTAGCTGTGGTTTATTAGTCCTTTGAACTAATCTTTCTCTCCTGTCTTTAGTTTTCTTCATTCTCCCTTGCATCTGATGGGGTGAGATCAGTGGAGTACCTTAGACGGCCACTCACAAACTTTAAAACCCTAGACGCTACTCATCAAAGTGGAATGTAGAACATTTTCTTTATAAACTATGTTATGCCAGTTGAGCTAGATGTTCCCTAAGACCATGGTTCCCACAGTAACTTGACCCCTCAAGTAGTTTAGATGTGTCTATGCAGCTTACATTACCTTGCCTTATACAAGTTGTGCTGAATTCCCCAGTACTGTGTTCTGTCTTACCCTTCACCAAAGTTACCACTTATCTATTGTTTATTTAGTGTTTTTCCATCCCCACCCCCTTTCCACCCTGGTAACCATTAAACATTGTTTCTTTTTTTGTGTAAACCTTTTCATGAGTTTTTAACATTAGTAGTCTCATACACTATTTGTCCTTTTGTGATTGATTTGTTTCACTCAGCATGATGTCCTCCAGATACATCCATGTTGTGAGATGCTTTGAAGAATTCATCATTGTTCTTTATCGTTGCATGGTACTCCATTGTGTGTATGTACAATATTTCGTTTATCCATTCATCTGTTGATGGGCATCTAGGTTGTTTCCATCTTTTTGCTATTGTGAACAATGCTGCAATAAACATGAGTGTACATATGTCTATTCACGTGACGGCTCTTATTTCTCTAGGATATATTCTTAGGAGTGAGATTGCTGTATCATATGGTATTCTATTTCTAGCTTTCTAAGAATGCACCATATCATTTTCCAAAATGGTTGTACCATTTTACATTATCACTAGCAATGCATAAGAGTTCCAATCTCCCTGCAGCCTCTCCAAAATTTGTTCTGTTTTTCTGATTCCTGCCAGTAATACCAGAGTGAGATGGTTTATCATTGTGGTTTTGATTTGCATTTCTCTAATGGCTAGTGGTCAGGAGCATTTCCTCACGTGTCTGTTACCTCCTGAATGTCTTCTTTGCTGCGGAGTCTGTTCATTTCCTTTGCCCATTTTTTAATTGGATTATTTGTCTTTTTGTTGTAAAGGTGTTAAATTTTACCATAGATTTTTGAGTTTAGACAATTGTCAGATATGTCATAGCCAAAATTTTTTTCCAAACATGGTGCTATAGGCAGAAGCACCACACTGCCGCTCCACAGCAAAGATCCAAAAAACTAAGCCAAACAGAGAAAACGGCAATCCAGAAACCCTAAGCATCAAATGAAGAGATAAAGAACTCAGCCAAGCACTGAATGGAATACTAAACAGAGAACAGAGAGTGAGGAGAGATACATGTAGAGGTCCCTATAAGCTAAAACAGCATGGATCCTCCATCTTGGACTCCTATCAGAGACCAGTGGACAGAGGGTATGAGAAAGCAGCTTCACGGAGCTTCCAACAGGAGACAGAACAACCGGTAACCAGCAACATATGTTTTCCCACCCCTCACCCTTCTTCACCCCCACTTGGCCTCCTCTGCTTCCTCTGGCCACAGTCTCTTGGCCAGGAAGCACAAGCTTCACTCCAGTGTCACTTGTATTCCACCCGCCCACACTGGCCGGCTCCATAAGTGCCATTTGTTGGCTGCTGGTGTTGCTTTTTTCCACTTCTTTAGATTTCTTCCTTACCTCTCACTACCTCCCCCTCCTTTCTCTCAAATACCTGGCTCCATGCTCCATCTTTGCTTCTTCCTGAAAGGTGGTGAAATGACACTTGAATGTGAGACTGAGTCCCTGCCAGTGCTGCCAAGCTGGTGGGATCCCAGGGCTTTTTTTGTTTGTTTTGAATTGTTTGTTTTCTTTTTCTTTTCTCCAATTGGGAGCCTGTTCTAGCCTGGCAGCACTGTGCGGCTTGGGACCTACCCCCAGTTTGCGCAGAGGCGCAGAGGGATCCCTGAGGGCTTTCCTTTTTTCTTGTTTTTTTTTTTTTTCTGTTTTCTTGGGGGGGGGGTTTCTTGTTCCTTTTTGAAAATTTTTTTTGTTTTCATTTCCCTCTTTTTGTATTTCTTCATTACTTAGTTTCTCGTCTCTCTATACTTTGTTTCTCTTCCTGTCCTGCGAATACCTGGAGCTGAGTGACACCTCTACTGCTTCTAACCAGGCTGTACTTCACAGCCTGGGAGTAACTTCCCCAGAACTTGCAGCCGCACCGGTGGGATCCCTGGGAGCTTTGCTTTTTTTTTTCCCTTCTAATTTTTGTTTATTCACTTTTTCTTTCCTTTTCTTTTTTTCCTTCTTCTTCTTCTTTTTGTTTTTCTCCATTTCATAGTCTCTCACCTCTCCACTCCAATGCAAAGTTCCCCTAGGACTCTTTTTTGTTTGTTTGTATGTTTTTGGCTCCTGTTCCTCTCTCTCCTCTCCCCCATACCCATCTTAGCTCCACACATCACAATCTCCCCCCTCCATCCTGCCTACCTGCACCATGTGCTTAACATCATATCACCAAACAGCCCAGACAGAGCCTGCTGGAACCTACCCTGCACTGATTACCGGCCCACCGTGGTGGCTGTGGTAAGTGCCACAAATCACCAATCCCAGCAACTCTTCTACAGCTAGACCTGCCCTGCAGTACCATATCTGAGAGACTGACCCTGCCAATTGTAGGAGGAGGCAAAAAGTATCATGCCCACAGACAAGCAAACAACAAAGAACATGCAGCCTGCCTGCTGAGACATAGCCAAATAAAACAAAAAGCAGGACAAAACAAACAAATCTACAATCAATAAATGAGAAAAATAACTACTGAATTCCCCGAAGACAGGAGAAAATATCAAAACATTTACAAAAATAGGACAGGATGATTCCAGTAGGTGTCCAAAATAAAACACCAGATGACATTCCAGCAGAAGAAAAGGTAATGGAACTACCTGATAGGGAATTAAAATCTCTAATATTTAAAGCTATACAAGAGTTGAATCAAAAAGCAGAGAAAAATGAGGAAAAAATAGACTAATTCATGGAAAAGCCAGACAAATTCATGGAAAATACAGACAAAAAAAATGGAAGAATTCAAGAAAATAATGCAGGAACAAAATGCCAAAATAAATTCACAACTAGAAATCATACAAAAACAACAATAAGAAATCCAACAGATAAACAACAAGATTTCAGAAATGGACAGTGTCACAGAAGGGCTGAGGAGCAAGTTTCAAACGGTGGAGGACAGAATCAGCGTAATTGAAAACAAAAGCTTGGATACAACTCTGACTGAGGAAAAATCAGAAAAAAGAACTAAAAAAAATGCAGAGACCATGAGAATTATGTGGGATGCAATCAAAAGCAAAAATTTGTGACTGATTGGAGTTCCAGAACAAAGGCAGAAAACACAGCGAGGATCACTGAAGAACTGCTGACAGAAACTTCCCCTATATCATGAAAGACAAACAGGTGGCCATTCAAGAAGCACAATGAACCCCATATAGTATAGAATTCAAAAGAAAATCACCAAGGCATATCATAATCACAGTCACCAAACCAAAGACAAACAAAGAATCCTGAGAGCAGCTCAAGAAAAACAAAAAGTGACATACAGAGGAGAAACAATAAGACTAAGCTCAGATTATGCAGCAGAAACCATGCAGGCAAGAAGGCAAAGGGATGACATATATAAAACCTTGAAAGAAAAAGATTGCCAGCCAAGAATGATATATACTGCAAAACTCTCATTCAGATACAATGGTGAAATTAAGACATTTCCAGATAAACAGAAATTAAGGGAATATGTAAAAACCAAACCAAACTT